CTTTAGGGTTTTTGATATATAAGTCATGTTGTCTACAAACAGTGAGAGTTTCAATTCTTTGTTGCCTATTTGGATTCCTTTTATTCCTTTTTCTTGCCTAATAGCTCTGGCGAAAACCTCCAGTACTATGTTGAATAAGAGTAGTGAGAGTGGACACCTTTGTCTTGTTCCTGTCCTCAGAGGAATGGCTTTCAGTTTTTCCCCATTAAGTATGATGTTGGCTGTGGGTTTGTCATATGTGGCCTTTACTTATGTTGAGGTACTTTCCTTTCATACCCATCTTGTTGAGAGGTTTTATCATAAATGGATGTTGGATCTTGTCAAATGCTTTCTTTGCATCTATTGAGATGATCATGTGGTTTTTATTCCTCATTCCGTTAATGTGGTGTATCACATTGATTGATTTGCAGATGTTGAACTATCCCTGTGTCCCTGGTACAAATACCACTTGAGCATGGTGTATGATCTTTTTAATGTATTGCTGGATTCTGTTTGCCAATGTTTTGTTGAGGATTTTTGCATCTATATTCATCAGCAATATTGGCCTACAATTTTCCTTCTTTGTATTGTGCTTGCCTGGCTTTCGTATCAGGGTGATGTTGGCCTTGTAGAATGTGTTAGGAAGTGTTCCATCTTCCTCTATTTTTTGGAATAGTTTGAGAAGGATAGGTATTAAATCTTCTTTGAATGCTTGGTAAAACTTCCCAGAGAAGCCACCTGGTCCTGGGCTTTTGTTTTTGGGGAGGCTTTTGATTACTGTTTCAATTTCTTTACTTATGATTGGTCTATTCAGATTCTCTATTTCTTCTTGATTCAGTTTTGGGAGGCTGTATGAGTCTAAGAATTTATCTATTTCTTCTAAATTGTCCAATTTGTTGGCACATAGTTTTTCATAGTATTCTCTTATAATCCTTTGTATTTCTGTGGTATCCATTGTAATTTCTCCTCTTTCATTTCTAATTTTATTTATTTGAGCCTTCTCTCTTTTTTACTTAGTGAGTCTGGCTAAGGGTTTGTCAATTTTGTTTATCTTCTCAAAGAATCATCTCTTTGTTTCATTGATCCATTCTACTGTTTTTTTGGGTTTTCTTTGTGTGGGTGTGTGAGGAAGATCAGCCCCGAGCTAACATCCATGCCAACCCTCCTCTCTTTTTTCTTTTTTGCTGAGGAAGACTGGCCCTGGGCTAACATCCATGCCCATCTTCCTCCACTTTATATGGGACGCTGCCACAGCATGGTCTGACAAGCAGTGCATCGGTGCACGCCTGGGATCTGAACCCAGGCCGCCAGCAGCAGGGCACACGCACTTAACCACTACACCATGGGGCCAGCCTCTGTTTTTTTGGTTTCAATTTCATTTATTTCTGCTCAAATTTTTATTATTTCCCTCCTTCTGCTGACTTTGGGCTTTGTTTTTCTTTTTCTAATTCTGTTAGGTATGGTTTAGTGTTGCTTATCTGGGATTTTTCTTGTTCGTTAAGATGGGCCTGTATTGCTATGAGTTTCCCTCTCAGGACTGCTTTTGCTGCATCCCATATGAGTCAGTATGGTGTATTTTCATTTTCATTTGTCTCCATGTATTTTTTGATTTCTCCTTTAATTTCTTCAATGATCCATTGGTTGTTCAGTAACATATTGTTTAGTCTCCACATCTTTGTCACTTTCCCAGTTTTTTTCTTATAGTTGATTTCCAGTTTCATAGCAGTATGGTCAGAGAAGATGCTTGATATGATTTCAATCCAATCTTCTTTTTTTTTTTTAATAATTTTTATTTATTTATTTTCCCCCAAAACCCCAGTAGATAGTTGTACATCATAGTTTCACATCCTTCTAGTTGCTGTACGTGGGACGTGGCCTCAGCATGGCCGGAGAAGCGGTGCGCCGGTGCGCGCCTGGGATCTGAACCCTGGCCGCCAGCAGCGGAGCGCGCGCACTTAACCGCTAAGCCATGGGGCAGGCCCTCAATCTTCTTAAATTTATAGAGGCTTGCCTTGTTTCCCAACATATGGCATATCCTTGAGAATGTTCCATGCATACTTGAAAAGAATGTGTAATCTGCTGTGTTTGGATGGAGTGCTCTATATATATCTATTAAGTCCATCTTGTCTAGTTTTTTTGTTTAAGCCCACTATTTCCTCATTGACTTTCTGTCTGGATGATCTATCCATTGATGTATGTGGGGTGTTAAGATCCCCTACTATTATTGTGTTGTTGTTAATATCTCTTTTTAGGTTTGTTAATAGTTGCTTTAGTACTTTGGTGCTCCTGTGTTGGGTGCATATATAAGTGATAAGTCCTCTGGGTGGATTGTCCCTTTTATCATTATATATTGCCCCTCTTTGTCTCTCATTACCTGCTTTATCTTCAAGTCTACTTTGTCTGATATAAGTATGGCAACACCTGCTTTCTTTTGTTTGCCATTAGCTTGGAGTACTGTCTTCCATCCTTTCACTCTGAGCTTGTGTTTGTCTTTAGAGCTGTTTCCTGGAGGCAGCATATTGTCAGATCTTGTTTTTTGATCCATCCCGCCACTCTGTGTCTTTTGATTAGAGAATTCAATCCATTTACATTTAGAGTTATTATTGATATATGAGGGCTTAATGTTGCTATTTTATCGCTCATTTTCCAATTCTTTTGCATTTCTTTTGTTTCTCGTCCAATGTGCTTTGGACTACCAATGCAGTTTGGTGGTTCTGTATGATGATTTTCTTAGTTTTCTCTTTATTTATCATATGTGTCTCTGTTCTGATTATTTGTTTAGTGGTTACCATGAGGTTCATATAAAAAATATCATAGATGAGACAGTCCATTTTCTGATGACCTTTTACTTCCTTAGACTAAGTCAATTCCATCCCTTTCCTCTTCCCCTTCTAAGTTATTATTGTCACAACTGATTCCATCTTGTGTCGTGTGTTTGTGTTTAAAGTGATAAATTATATTTATTTTTGGTGTTTTCCTTCCCTTAATCTTTGGTGTTATAATTGTTTGCTAACCTATTCTGATAGAGAGTTGCAATTTTTCTGATTTTGCCTAACTATTTTTCTCCTTGCTCAAAACTTTGTATCCCCTTTCTCTTTTTTTTCCTCAGGCATGAAGGCCTTCTTGAGCATGTCTTAGTGGGGATGTTGTGGCAATGAACTCCCTTAGCTTTTGTTCATCTGGGATAGTTATTATTTCTCCATCATAGCTGAAGGATATTTTCACTGGATAGAGTATTTTTGGCTGAAAGATTTTGTCTTTCAGAATTTTGAATATATCATTCCACTCTCTCCTAGCCTGTAGAGTTTCTGCCGAGAAATCGGCTGAGAGCCTGATAGTGATTCCTTTGTACATTATTTTTTTTTTTTTGTCTTGCTGTCATTAATATTTTTCCTTTATCATTGACTTTTGCCAGCTTTACTACTACATGCCTTGGAGATGGTCTTTTCATGTTGATATATTTAGGGGATCTATTGATTTCATTCACTTGTGTTTCCAGCTCCTTCCCAGGTTTGGGAAGTTCTCAGCTATTATTTCTTTGAATAAGCTCTCTGCTCTTTTTCCCCTCTCTTCTCCCTCTGGAATACCTATAATCCTTATGTTACATTTCCTAATTGAGTTAGATATTTCTCAGAGAATTTCTTCATTTCTTTTTAGTCTTAGTTCTCTCTCCTCCTCTACCTGGAGCATTTCTGCCTTCTTATCCTCAATATTGCTAATTCATCCTCCATTGTCAGCTCTCTCTTTAAAGATTCCAGATTTTTCTTTATCTCCTCCATTGTGTTTTTCATCTCCAACAGTTCTGATTGGTTTTTCTTTGGAGTTTCAATCTCTTTTGTGCAAGTTCCTGATTTCATTGAATTGTCTGTGTCTTCTTGTAGTTTGTTGAGCTTTTGTATGATAGCTATTTTGAATTCTCCACCATTTAGGTTATAAATTTCTGTACCTTCAGGATTGATTTCTGGGTGCTTGTCATTTTCATCTTGGCCTGGAGATTTAATATATTTTTGCAAAGTGCTTGAGGGCATGGGCTTACTTTTCCTCATTCTGAAGATATCTGGTTGCAGCTTCCACTTGACACCTCTGGGTGGGGGTCAAGAGTTGTGTATTCTGAGCCAGCTGCAATCTGTGGGCACTCTCACCAACCGTCTGTGCTGGTCCTTCAGGCGGGGGGCGGGGGGTGTCTTTCGTTTGCCTACCCAATCCCAGGGGCTTCTCATTCTTCCCTCACTGTATGCTTTCCTGGCATGCTAGCTTGATGAAGGCAACCCCACAACTGTTTAGTCCCCTCCATATGGGAATATCCCACAGGCTGTGACAGAACTTGGAGAACGATGGTTTTCCCTCGGAGCGCTGCCCCTCCTCCCTCTCTCTCAGAGAGCCGTGTGGTCCTGGTCTCAGGGTTGCTGTCATTGGGGAAGGAGAGGCGTTCTTCTTACCTCTTTCCACTTCCTCCAGGGGTACCAGCACCTCCACCTTCAGATGCAAGGCTACATGGGTCTCAGATATCTTTTGTGTTGTGTGAATATCCTCTGTTGGTATTTGAATGTCCTTTTTGTTGTATCTTAGCGGGGGAGAATCTAAGGGGGAAAGCTTGCTCTCCCATGATGCTGACGTTACTCCCCTAGTTATAAGTATTTTTATGATATGGATTTCTAGTTTGGGTTGAAGCATCCACATTTTCTATTTTAGGAGACAATATCAAATTTTCCCTTCCAAAATACTGGGAGATATACCCGCTAAAAGATGTTTTAGAGGATGAAGGTAAAGTCCTAAGCTGAAATGATTCAGCAGCCCCAGAGATAATTTGAAAAAAGAAAAAAAAAGGAAAGAAAATATCATTAAATTCATTTCAAAACCAATGAAAGAATAAAATTAGCATACCTGTGATTAGTTTTGGTAGAAGAAAGAAGCTTTTGAACTTAAGTTTGTAAAAATGTCTTGGTGACACTCACAGATTCAAAATCTCCCCAAAGTTTATCCTAAAGAGTAAAAGCATTGCTAAGAGTAGAGTGAATTACCTGGAGGTGCTCCTCAGGCACTATAACTGGGCCACATTTTGTATGCTCTGCACATTCTCCAGTACAGTATCTATGGGGATCATTATCCTTCCGTAGGTATTGGCTTGTTGCACATTGTCTTCAGTTCATTTGTACATTAAAGTTTAATTACCAAAGAAGAAAAAAAAAAAGAATAGTTCACAGCATTGTAAAACACTGTAAAAAACTAGTAGTTGCTATGATAGTCCATTAATAATGGTTACTATTTTAGTTAGAAAGGTAGACTAACAAAGAATTTTGGTTCCATAGGAAATCATTCTGATCTGGGTTTTAAAACACCCAACTACTTCATAAAGCCAATAATGTAGACACATGAAGCAGGGAGGAAGGGGATGTAGGGAACAGGGGATGACTACACCCTAGGAAAAGATCCAGTAGGTCACCTCATAATGGAAATCAGGAAAGAATGATTACCCAACAGATGCTTTTTTATTCTTTTCAAATACCTTGCACTTTGGTCTCCAAGAACAAGCACATTAAAATATTCTAATATAAATTTCATAATTTACCATACTGGTAGAATGGGGAGGGCGGAGTACTAAATAACTGAAGAAAATAACCTGTGTTTAATGTGACATACCTGCTAAGTAAGATAGTGCCCGCAGGTCTACGAACCTGAAAAGTCTTCTCTAAATAAGAAATAGCTTGTGGAAAAAGCTTGTTCTAAATAAAAGTTGGAAAAAAAAAAAAAACCAGTCAGAATCATAGTCAAAGGATAACTTATATTTAAAACAAGTAAGCATAGGATATTAAGGACTGAGGGAAAAATGGGAAAGCCTTACAATTCTGGAATACACATACTAGTTAGTCAAAGGTTGTGTGGCAAGGGGTAGGGGACAGAACAAGTCTAGGAGCAAAGGAATTTCCTCATTTTCTAGTTGAGTGTGAAGAAAGAACACTAGGTAGAAAGTTGCTTCCCTACTCCCATTAAATAGAATATTAGAAAACATAAATGTCAACTATTAATCTAAATTACTTTAAATTTGAGATTGATTTATATGATTCCAACATCAAGGTAGTTTATGTTAAGAAAATCTTATGTTTAGAAGATCTACTTTAACCTCACCAATTTCTGTGGCCCATAATGAATTGACTTAACGTGTGTGTGTGACTCTGTAACAGTTAAAAAACTGATGAGGTTAGCACCTCTATTAACAACTTTAGCATATCATACTATCAGGTCAATTAATCTTCAGGAGAATGAGCATTTCTACCAGGAGAATAGTGTTCTCAATGTATTTCAAAAATCGTCTTTTTCACCCTATCCTCAGCATGCCTTGCTCCCCCAAAACTTAAGAGAACAAGAAAATGAGAAGACCAATTTAATATCAAATTATAAAATAGGAGGACTAATTTAATATCATATATGAACAAAGTTTTGGTGAGTGCATCACAAAGACACCTTCGCTGAAAATGATAAATACATTCACTACCAACACCTTTTATTCAGTCATTCACAAAACAGTCATTCTTTATTGAAGCAGAATTTATATACAATAAAATGCACCCATGTTAAGTATCCAATTCAAGCCATGAGTATTTATTACATACCATTAGAAGGTATCTTTTCTCAGGGAGCAACCTGAAAATGATGACACAAAACGTAAGAATTGCATGCTGCGGCAGAGCACTGCCTCATTTGTTCAGAATGCATCTGGCAGAGCCCCAAGGAATGCTTTGTGGATGCATGCAATATCATTCCCCCCAAATCTCAATTTACCTCAGTGAGCATCTGAGAGTTGACACTGTGCCAAAGCACAACGCTAGGCATGATCATATGTTATCTTATTCATTTGGGAAGTGAATAAGGGAAGGGAAGGGAAAGACATCAACTACTCCTAATAGCTCTTTCTAAACTACTACAGATTCATAATTTATCTGTTTCCTGGACCCCTCTTACATTAAATAAAAAATTAGACTATATTATCTCTCTGGTTAATTTTGTAAACATTCTTCTTATTATATATATTAGTACTTCCTCTTAGTTTTCCTCCAAGTACTTACAGAAAGAGGTCCCTTCCAGGTCTGTTATTGACCACATCCAAGTAGATCCACATTCGTTCTGTTTAAATTATTCATGATGTATAGATTTTAATCATATCCCATTGCCTTCATCTTTCCAGACTAAAAGATATTTTTAGCTTAATTCCATCTTAAAGTGCATTAGCACCTAGTTCCACCTATGGAACTTCAGGTAACAAATGAAAATATCTTTAATAGTTTGAGTCTTAATAAAAAAGATGAAAAAATAATGGCGCACTTACTCTTCAATACTTTTATCATAGACAGTCTTGATTCTTAAATGTTCATCAACATCTCTCTTTACAACATGATTTGCTTTCAGATGGACCTTATTTATGACCTGAAAAAAAAGAATAGATTTGAAAATTAAAAAAAAAAAAAAGATGTTTTATAGATTAACCAGGTGAGGTCTCAACTTAAAATTAATAAACTAAATTTCAAGTATAATACCCAGAAAAAAAAATTAAAGAACTAAATAAATGCAGAGATAATCCATGTTCATGGATAGGAAGGCTCAATATTGTCAAGATGTGATTTCTTCCCAACTTGATCTATAGATTCAATGTAATCCCAATCAAAATCCCAGCAAGTCATACTATGGATATCAACAAACTGATTCTAAAATTTACATGGAGAGGTATTCTGAGAAGACTCAGAATAGCCAATACAATATTGAAGGAGAAGAACAAAGTGGGAGGACTGACACTACCTGACTTCAAGATTTACTATAAAGCTACAGTAATCAAGACCGTGTGGCACTGACAAAAGAAGAGACAAATGGATCAATGGAAAAGAATAGAGAGTCCAGAAATAGACCCCCATAAACAGAGTCAACTGATCTTTTACAAAGGAGCAAAGGCTATGGAGCAAAGATAGTCTTTTCAACAAATGGTGCTGGAACAACTGGACATTCACATGGGAAAAAAAAAAGACTCTAGACAGACTTTATATCCTTCACAAAAATTAACTCAAAATGGATTAGAGACCTAAACGTAAAATGTAAAACTATAAAACTCTTAGAAGATACCATAGGAGAAAACCTAGATGACCTTGGGTATAGTGATGACTTTAGATACCACACTAAAGGCATGATCCATAAATGAAAAAATTGATAAGTTCAACTTTATTAAAATTAAAAACTTCTGCTCTAGAAAGATACCATCAAAAGAACAAGAAGACAAGCCACAGACTGGGAGAATATATTTGCAAAAGACATATCTAATAAAGGACTGTTATCCAAAATAAACAAAGAACTCTTAAAACTTAACAAAAATAAAATGAACAACCCAATTAAAAAACGGGAAAAATATCTGAACAGACAGCTCACCAAAAAAGATACACAGATGGCAAATAAGCAAAGGAAAAGATGCCCCACATTAGATGTTATCAGGGAAATGCAAATTAAAACAACACTGAGATATCACTACACACCTATTAGAACAGCCAAAATCTGGAAAACGGACACCATCAAATGCTGCCAATGATGTGGAGCAACAGGAACTCTCATTCATTGTTGGTGGGACTGCAAAATGGTACAGCCACTTTGGAAGACAGTTTGGCAGTTTCTTAGGAAACTAAATATACTCTTACCATAACAACCCAGCAATTGTGCATTTTGCTATTTACTTAAATGAGTTAAAAACTTATGTCCATGCAAAAACCTGTACAAGGATGTTTATAGTGGCTTTATTCACAATTGCTACAGTTTGTATGCTAACAGATAAATAAACTGTGGTACATCCAGACAATGAAATATTCAGAGGTAAAAAGATGAGCTATCAAGCCATGAAAAGACATGGATGAAACTTAAATGCATATTACTAACTGAAGAAAGCCAATCTGAAAAGGCTACAGACTGTATGATTCCAACTACATGCCATTCTGGAAAAGGCAAAACTATGGACACAGTAAAAAGATCAGTGTTTGACAGGACTTGGGGGGGTGGAGCACGGAGGATTTTTAGGGCAGTGAAAATGCCCTGTATGATACTATAATGATGGATGCATGTCATTATACATTTGTCCAAACCCACAGAAAGTACAACACCAAGAGTGAACTCTAAAGTAAACTACGGACTTTGGGTAAATATGATGTGTCAATGTAGGTCCATCAATTGCAACAAAAGTACCACTCTGATTGGGGATGTTGATAACGGAGGACTCTATGCATGTGAAGGGGGAACAGAGTATTTGGGAAATCTCTGTACCTTCTTCTCAATTCTGTGGTGAACCTAAAGCTGCTCTAAAAAACAAAGTCTTTAATTGAAAAAAAAAAAAAAGAGAGACCAGAAGACAATGGAACAAATAGTTAAAGTGCTATAAAAGAAAGACGTTCAACACTAAAGTCAATCTCCAATGAAATTACCCTTCAAAAATGAAAAGGACATAAAGATATTTCAGATAAATGAAAATGGAGAGAATTCATCACCAGCAGACCTGCGCTACAAGAAATGCTAAAGGAAGTTCTTCATAGTTGTGGAAATGACACTAGATGGCAAGTTGAATCTTGTCTTAGTCAGTTCAGGCTGCTATAATAGAATACTATAAACTGGGTGGTTTATAAACAACAGAAATTTCTTACAGTTCTGGAGGCTGGCAAGTCCAAGATCAAGGCGCCAGAAGATTGGGTATCTGGTGAGAACCCACTTCTTGTTTCTAGGGCCATATTCTCACTGTGTTCCTCTGGCAGAAGGGGCAAATGAGCTCTCTGGGATCTCTTTCTTAAGGGTATTAATCAAAGTCATGAGAGCTCTGCCCTCATGACCTAATCACCTACCAAAGACCCCAGCTCCTAACCATCATATTGGGAGTTAGGATTTCAACACACAAATTTGGGGGGGATACAAACATTCAGTCTTTACCAGATCTGCAGGAAGGAATGAGGATGACTGGACATGGTAAATATGGTGAGTAAACATAAAAAACTATTGTGCAGAAAAGAGTTAACACAGCAGGCCTAAGACTGCTATCTTTAGAAAGGCCTGCTTGAAAGTTTGACCTTTTGCTGGTGTGGGAACTTGAACAATAAATAGTTCCCTATTCTGATATAAAACTTTCCTAAGTGATAAGAGAGGTTCATTGTGCCTAAACTGTTAATAGAAATAATATAGTTTATGTTGAACACTTTACTTCTTGGAGTTTGGAATTTTAGTGACTGAAATTGTGCCTACATGACCAACCTCAAAAACCCTGGACTCCTAGGTTCAGATGAGCTTCCCTTACAGACACCATTTTGTGTCTGTTGTTACATGTTACTGCTGAAGGAATTAAGCATGTCCTATGTAACTCCACTAGGAGAGAATACTTGGAGGCTTATATGCCTGGTTTCCTCCAGTCTTTGCTGTATAAGCCTTTTCTCTTTGCTGACTGTGTGTTGTATCCTTTCACTGTCATAAATCTTAGCTGTCAGTACGACTATATGCTGAGTCCTGTGAGTTCTTCTAGTAAATCACCAAACCTGGGGTGGTCTTGGAGACCCTCAACACAATTATATACATTATTTCTTTTCTTCTTATTTCTTTAGAGACATTAAAGGGATTCTTCAGTTTAAAGCTAAAATTATAAAACTGTAATTGTGAGGTTTACAATATACGTAGAGGTAATACTTATTAAAACAACAGCAAAAGGACCAGGGTGTAAATGAAACTATACTGTTGAAAAGTCCCTATATTTAACATGAATATTAACTTTAAGCGGATGTCATAAATACAAGATACATATTGTAATTACTAGAGCAAACACTCAAAAATATATTGCATTTTACTGTAGGTTAATTACATCTCACTTTAAAAAATAGGGGGCCGCCCCGTGGCTTAGGGGTTAAGTGCGTGTGCTCCGCTACTGGTGGCCCGGGTTCAGATCCCAGCGCGCACCGATGCACCGCTTGTCTGGCCATGTTCAGGTGGCATCCCACATACAGCAACTAGAAGGATGTGCAACTATGACATACAACTATCTACTGGGGCTTTGGAGAGGAAAAAGGGGGGGAAAAAAAGGAGGAGGATTGGCAATAGATGTCAGCTCAGGGCCGGTCTTCCTCAGCAAACAAAGAGGAGGATTGGCATGGATGTTAGCTCAGGGCTGATCTTCCTCACCAAAAAAAAAAAAAAAAGAAAGCAGAAGAAAGGAAATCATAAAGAGGAGAAATCAGTTAAATGGAAAACAGAAAAACAGAGAAAAATCAATGAAACCAAGAGCTGATTCTTTGAAAATACAATTGATAAAATTCTAAGCAGATTGACCAAGAAAGAGAGAGGACACCAATTATAGACATATCTCATTTTATTGCGCTTTGTAGATATTGTGTTTTTTAGAAATTGAAGGTTTGTGGCAATCCCGTATTGAGTAAGTCTATTGGCGCCATTTTTCCAACAGCATTTGCTCACTTCATGTCTCTGTGTCACATTTTGGTAATTCTCACAATATTTTAAACTTTTTCATTATTATTATACTTGTTATGGTGATCTGTAATCAGTGATCTTTGATGTTACTATTGTAATTGTTTTGGGGGTGCCATGAACTATGCCCAAAAAAGATGGCAAACAATCAATAAATGTTGTGTGTGTTCTAACTGCTCCACCACTGACCATTCCTCTATCTCTCTCCCTCTCCTTGGGCCTCCTTATTCCCTGAGACACAACAATATTGAAATTAGGCCAGTTAGTAACCTTACAATGACCTCTAAGTGTTCAAGTGAAAGGAAGAGTCACAAGTCTCTCATTTTAAATCAAAAGCTAGACACGATTAAGCCTAGTGAGGAAGGCATGTCGAAAGCAAGATATGCCGAAAGCCAAGAGAGACCAAAAGCTAGGCCTCTTGCACCAAACAGCTAGCCAAGATGTGAATGCAAAGGAAAAGTTCTTGAAGGAAATTAAAAGTGCTACTCCAGTGAATACACGATAAGAAAGCGAAACAGCCTTATTGCTGATATGGAGAAAGTTTTAGTGGTCTAGAAAATCAAACCAGCCACAACCCTTAAGCCAAAGCCTAAACCAGAGCAAGGCCCTAATTCTCTTCAATTCTATGAAGCCTGAAAGAGGTAAGGAGGCTGCAGAAGAAAAGTTTGAAGCTAGTAGAGGTTGGTTCATGAGGTTTAAGGAAAGAAGCCGTTTCCATAACATACAAGTGCAAGATGAAGCAGCAAGTGCTGACATAGAAGCCACAGCAAGTTATCCAGAAGCTCTAGCTAAGATAATAAATAAAGGTGACTACACTAAATAACAGATTTTCAACATAGATGAAAAAGCCTTATATTGGAAGAAGATGCCATTTAGGACTTTCATAGCTGGAGAGAAGAAGTCAATGCCTGGCTTCAAAGCTTCAAAGGACAAGCTGACTTTTT